ACTGCTTAAATCGATCGTGCGAAGACCTAGATTCCGTTGTTAACCAGGCTCGGGAGTTCTTAGAAGACTGGTCACCAAAGTTGAGCAAGCTGTTTGGTGTAAGTTGATGAATAAGCTCTCAATTTTTAGTTTTTCTGCATCTTTTCCTCTGTTACTTGAATTTTTATTCAATGTATTGTTGTGCAGGTGTTTCAGTGTGAGGTTTTGTTGGGAAAGGTCCAGACTTGTTCGCTGGATGTTAGTCGCATACTTCTTCAGTTATCACAGTCAACTCCAGTAACTTCAAGTGTACAAGATGTTGAGGTAAACAAGAATTACTTCATTTTTTGGCCCTATGAGTCTAATTGCATCCACTTGTGTTAATAATCTCTTGGAACGTTTTCAGCGTTGCGTGCAGGAGATTGAGAGCTTTAAGCAAGAGAGGACATTTACCGAACAAATGGAGAATGCTTTACGGAATCAGAAAGACGATATTGTTCCTTTGGATAATCATCATCTTGATAACATTATTCAAATGGTTGGATTGATATCAAACCAGGATCTGTTGAAGGAAAGCATTGCTGTGGAAAAGGAGAGGATAAAATCTCAGGCTAGTAAGTCGAAAGAAAAAATGGAAATAACCGACCAGTTGATAGATCTCGTCTTGTGCATCCGTGAACACATGCTTAAAACTGAGTTTCTTGAAGTGGCTAGAGGTATCTCAGTACCCCCGTATTTCCGGTGTCCTTTGTCAACAGAACTCATGCTGGATCCGGTAATAGTAGCTTCAGGACAGACATTTGACAGAACATCCATTAAGAAATGGCTTGATAACGGGTTAGCTGTTTGTCCCAGGACGCGGCAGGTGCTGACTCATCAAGAATTCATTCCCAATTATAAGGTTAAGGCTATGATTGCAAGTTGGTTGGAGGCAAACAGTATCAACCTTGCTGCTAACTCTGGTCATCAGTATGATGGTGGTGATGCTTCATCCATGGCTAATAACATGGGCTCTAATGACTTCAACCGCACCGAGAGTTTTCGTTTTTCTTTACGGAGCAGCAGTTTTACCTCGAGATCATCTCTTGAAACTGGAAATGGGTTTGAGAAGCTAAAGATCAATGTGCCTGCCAGTTTATGCGGGGAATTTCAGAGCAAGAATCTTGAGATTTTCGAACTTTCGTCTCCGGGGCAGTCTTATACTCACAGCAGGAGTGAATCAGTTTGCAGTGTTGTCTCGTCTGTTGATTACGTGCCTTCGGTGACAAATGAGACAGAAAGTAACCACCAAAGCTACAGTGAGATGTCTCCTAATAAAAACTCAGAAAGCTCAAGCAATGTTAATCATGAGTATAATGCAGCAAATACTTATGAGGATTCTCTACAGAATTTAGATGATTCGGGAACAATGACGACTTCACATACCATAAAATTGGTGGAAGATCTTAAAAACGGGTCTAACAAAGTGAAGACTGCTGCTGCAGCTGAAATACGTAATCTCACCATTAACAGCGCTGAAAATCGTTTTCACATTGGGCGTTGCGGTGCTATCACTCCACTGCTGTCACTTTTATACTCTGAAGAAAAGCTTACTCAAGAACACGCAGTCACGGCTCTTCTGAATCTTTCGATTAGTGAACTAAACAAAGCCATGATTGCGGAAGCCGGGGCTATAGAACCGCTTGTTCATGTTTTGAACACAGGAAATGATAGAGCAAAAGAGAATTCAGCAGCAACATTTTTCAGTCTGTCTGTTCTGCAAGTCAACAGGGAACGAATAGGCCAGTCTAACGCAGCGATACAGGCTCTGGTGAATCTTCTTGGTAAGGGGACATTTAGAGGAAAGAAAGACGCCACCTCTGCTTTGTTCAATCTATCGATAACTCATGAGAACAAGGCTCGTATCGTGCAAGCTAAGGCGATTAAGTATCTTGTGGAGCTGTTAGACCCAGATTTAGAGATGGTTGATAAAGCAGTTGCTCTTCTTGCAAATCTTTCTGCAGTTGGAGAAGGGCGCCAAGGAATCGTGAGGGAAGGTGGGATTCCGTTGCTTGTTGAGACCGTCGACTCAGGATCTCAAAGAGGGAAAGAGAATGCAGCTTCTGTGCTGCTTCAGTTGTGTCTGAACAGTGCCAAGTTTTGCAATTTGGTCTTGCAAGAAGGCGCCATACCTCCACTAGTTGCCTTGTCTCAGTCTGGTACACAGAGAGCTAAAGAGAAGGTAAAGACTATACTCATCTTCTGCGGTCACAACACACCAAAATTTAATCGCGATATCTGAATATTATTGTTATTTGCAGGCACAGCAACTTCTCAGCCACTTCCGGAACCAGAGAGATGCAAGGATGAAGAAAGGCAGATCATGATTCATGAGAGACAGAGATGCATTCTTCCATTTAGACATATCCCACGGGAGATTTGTTTTGCTAGAAAATATCCTTTTTCTTTCTTTTTGCCAAGAACATTTAGCTGGAGAAAGTGTCTCCTTTTGTGTCGAGTTCTTGTTTTGTGGTGTGTTAATGGTGCTGTGTAGTAGTTATATGTATGTTGCAACTTGTGAGTTTCGAGTATATATAGGCAATGAAGTTTTACTACATAACACATTTACATAAAGAGTATATCACCACTTGCCCAAAGTCTAAACCCACTTGATTCATTATATCTATATTGCATTCATCCAATTCTTTCTTTCTTTACGGACAAAACAAGAGAATAGTCCAAATGTTTCCACTTAACTAGTTGTACATAAGCATTGGATTGATATCAAAATTTGTTCTTTACATTGGTTTTGGTTGTGAAGCAAATGAGAGCAAGGGCTGGATTAGTCTATGATATGATGGACTAACAAGTAAATCTTTAGATTTTATATTGTTGATAAATTTTGATAAGCGCTAATTTACATATAAAATCAAATTTAGTCAAATTCGAAAAAGACAAGTAAATCTTCTGAAGAACCGTATTATCATCATGAGTCTTGTGCCAAAACCTGACATATAGATGGCATATTATATATTCAAGGTGCATAAAATGCAACAATCTCTATGTAAAAGCAGAGCTTGTGATATATTTTGAATTTAAAATTAACTCAAAACATATAAAGTTTTAAAGTTTGTTTCCATATGCAAACAATACTTCAAAACATTTAAAAGCAAACACTTGGCAAATTCAAGTAAAATTTAACTAAGTTAATCATAAAAAAATTCATGAAATAGTTTGTTTTGAACATTGACGTGAAGCAAAAGTTTTTTCAAATGTTTGTTCATGAGAAAAACTTTGATGATGTCTCTCTTTGAGTTTCAATTTGAGAAAAGGGAAATTGGCATATATAACCCAAAAAAAACTATAACACATAAACTAACCAAATTTTCCCTTTTTCTCTCTCTAATTTTTCCTATCTCTCTCTAATGTTTTACTAAACTGTGAATTATAG